GCCAGTGCTCTTGATCCCGGGATCATACTCTGGGGAACAAGGATCTGGAAGACCTGAATTCAAGTGCTGGCCTCTCTCAACCTCAGTTTCCCTACCTGTAAAATGGACTAAAATACTTTTAAATTCTGTCTGTAGCCTCATGAGAAGAGGTGACCAGAGAAGGCTGGTCCTTGTTAAGAGCTTATCCCGCCTCTCAATTTTCAAGGACTCCCTGTCTCAACATGGTGAAGACAAAATGGAATCATGAAAGCAAGACAGCCATCCAGAGCCTTTCCACTTTGATTCACATCTCTCCCTGCTCCAGTGTGTACCTTTGCTAATATTCAAAGGTCTTGACTTTAATTAGATCACATGATCAGAACATGACTCTCCTGGTTGTGCTGTTTGTCTGGAATAAACTGTTGGGTAGGCTTCATCCTGTCCCGTGGCATGCCCAGCGGAGGTCTAGTTACAGCCGGTCTAAATTACCAGTAGTAATCCAATGTAGACACAAAAGATTATTATGGTGTTTGGATCTGAGACACATTTTTAGTCAGAGTCAAATTGAGATGCCATTTTTTTTTTCTCAAAACCTGTCACTTGTTGGAGGAATTTAATACTATGTTGACATTTTTCTTATCCTTCAGAATCCTCTCAGATGTTCTGTTCTCAGCAAAACCTTTTCAGAGGCCACAGTCAGAGTTAGTGGCCTCCTCCCGCCCCTCTGCCCCCAGTCACCCCCACCGGAACTCACCCCTCACAGCTGGGCTTGTTCAGTTATGGGCCTGGGTCTCCCTCGCTGAATTACAAGCTCCTTAAGCCATCTTAACGGAGCAAACACACAGTTCAGGGACTCCAGCGCGGCTCCTGAGGACACTGTTCTTTCTGGCCGTGTGTCCCCAGGAGGCTGTGGAAGGTTCTGCTCCAGATGCACCTCTTTGCACTGGCCCTGGGCAGAGGGCTGTGGGGAGGGTTCTGTGAAATAATGGATGTGAAACTGTCTCCTTTCTCTCCTGGCTTACAGTAGGCATCAGAGGAAGATTTGCTAAGTTTTTCCTTCCCTAAGGTCAAGGATCATGACATAAATTCATATATTTCTAGCCTTCAGGAAAAGTCATACATAGTGGGTGCTCTGTAAATTCTTGAAAATTGGATTTAATAACCTCTCATTTAGGGAAATTGGGTGTATTTCTTTAAGGCATAGAAAAATAGAGATGGAGAAATAACTGTTTGTTTTTCCCCTGTTAGCTGAGAGTGAATGTTCTTCTGAAATGTATGAAATGTGTTTTGAAGAAGTAATTAAAATCTTGACAGAGATTTATTTCTGGTTTGCTTAAGCTTAAAAATCTGAAAGATTTTTAAGAAAGACGAGATATGATAAATGCTGCACGGGGTGGGTGGAGAAGAAAACCTATATTTAACAAGCAATTCCTACAGGATATCCATTTTCTTTATTTATATGTATGAGCTTTTTGGAAGAATTGGAAAAAAATTGCTAATGGTTGCCTTTGGGAAGAGGATCAAGGATTAGGGAGAAGAAGACTTTTATTTTCATTTTATACTTTTCTGGTTTGAATTATTGGCCATGGGGGCATATTTGAAGTTAAAAAAAAAAAGATGTAGATCTATATCTGGGGGAATTGAAAAATAGGCCATTTTTCTTTTTTATATATTAAAATCTCTCATAAGTATTATCTTTAAATTTTATTTGCAAGTGGCTCAAGTACAAGGTGCTAATAATAAATGAGGATTTCCTGCCCCTTGTCAAGTCACTAAGCCATCTCCATTGCAGGAATGGAGCTCTTAGCTGTTACTACCCCTGAGGTTTAGAAAGCTCCCAGGTGGGGCTGTGTCCTTGCAGTCCTGCTGAGCGGAGGAATGTAGCATCTGGTTATGAGCCCTGAAAGTGCTAGAATCATCACTCTGTAACGCTCTGATCTGGTTTAGGGAAGATGTAGCTGCAAGGGATGGCCCGGAAGGGGATGACAGGACATGGAGACCCACCCAGCAGGACCATCCTCCATCCTGCACTGTAAAAGTGAGGGGGTTACAGCTCCTTCAGAGCATGGCACAGGAGCCTACTCATTCTGGGCTTCCCAGGAGGCACTAGTGGTAAAGAACCCACCTGCCATTGCTGGAGACATAAGGGATGCAGGTTGCATCCCTGGATCAGGAAGATCCGCTGGAGGAGGAAATGGCAACCCACTCCTGTATTCTTGCCTGGAGAATCCCAGGAACAGAAGAGCTTGGAGGGCTACAGTTCATGGGGTTGCAAAGAATCAAACACGACTGAAGTGACTTAGCACACCTGCGCTGCTCTTCATAGCAAGAAGTTGGATTTTCCTTTTTGCTCTGGCACCACCCAGCCAGAGTTGGGTGTTGGGAGTTGGGAGTTGGCAGCATCAACTCCCTTACCTCCCCCACCAGGGGTCGGGGATGTACCCATCTGGAGTACCTGAGAGTAAGCAGTGCTTCCCAGGTCACATACTCCGGTGGGACGAAGCAGCGTGTCCCTTGAGCTCCCATCTGTCATTTTCCACTACCCAAGACTTAGCTCTAATTCTGTGAGGGTGGCGTCCAGGGAGAAGGCACCTCTGAGGCTTTTGAGGTACCACTTTCAATTTTAGATGTTACCTCCACATAAGAGCCTGCACAAACTGGGATGTTTTTCCAGGAGGGCAGCCAGGAGGGTTAAAGGAATCATCACCATGTTGTACAAAGAGACAGACTGGGATGTAGGTAGCACTCACTTCTCTGTGGTTAGATCATTAATGTCCCTATATGTCAGCTTCCCACCAATGAATGGTGTTCCCATAGTACTCACCTCAAAGGGCGGTCGTGAGGATTACATAAGTTAATTCACCCAAACGCTTAGAACTGGTAAGGGTTCCACAAGTGGCAGTGACCATTTTTTGCTCCTGGGGCCAGAGCTACAAGAAAGAGTCCCAAGTCTTTAGATGGCAGGAGCCACGGGCTGCTCCTGGTCGATGCAGCTTCCTTTCTGACCTGTAGGCATTTCTAAAGACAGACATTATTATCAAGCAGCTTTCCTGCAGGTGTACTAAGTCACTTCAGTCACGTCCAACTCTTTTCGACTCCCTGGACTGCAGCCTGCCGGGCTCCTCTGTCCATGGGATTCTCCAGGCAAGAGTACTGGAGTGGGTTGCCATGCCATCCTCTAGGGGATCTTCCCGATCCAGGGATTGAACCCACATCTCTTATGTCTCCTGCATTGGCAGGCAGGTTCTTTAGTTCTAGTACCACCTGGGAAGTCCATCAAGCAGTTTACTGATTATTCTTCTGAGAGACATGAGTGGCAGATTCAGCCTCTTAGGCTGTAAGTAAGAGATATGTCCCATATTCATTCTCCTAGGTGAGGGGATCTCTGGGCCTGGTGTTGATACATTCTTTAATTTGTCTTCTCGACATACACTGGGCCTCATGATATGAGTAATCTCTTTACTGAGGAGGGTGGTCATTGTATGGTCAGCCACATAGTACAGAGAAAAGTACGCCATCCCTACCCAGGTAAAGGATAACTGCCCATCTCCTTTCAGCACCCCAGTCTAAATAAAAACAGCTGCTGTTGTGTCTTATTGTATAATTGCTCCAACATTCACCAGCCACATAGTACAGAGAAAAGTAGGCCATCCCTACCCAGGTAAAGGATAACTGCCCATCTCCTTTCAGCACCCCAGTCTAAATAAAAACAGCTTCTGTTGTGTCTTACTGTATAATTGCTCCAACATTCACCATTTCCTGTAGTTGTCTAGACTCGTCTATCTGCAGAGCAGCATCTGCGTGTCATCGATGTGGGGTCACCAGACTTTGCCAAGTGCTCCCCTTCTGGGTCTCATACTAATTTATTAACTGTTAGCAAATGAATTCATGTGAATGTTTAAGGAGGATATTTCGCTCACTAACCTAAAGCACTAAATAAGGTAGTGTTTTCTCAGCTTGTAACCTAGATGCTGCTGGGCACCTTAAACACTTGTTTGAGAAGGGACTAGTCAAATGGTGCTTTGGTGAAGCAAAGGAAAAGAGAATTGAGGAGAAGATGTAGTGGGCAGCTTTCTGAAAGCCAAAACTCTCATTTATTAATTATGCCAATTCCCCCAAAACCTGCAAGCCCCTTTGGAAACCCCCCCGGAAAAAAAATTTGCCAAAACCAAAAATAACGCAACCCGGGAAAAAACCCGGAAAAGAGATGAGGACGGCGCGGCTTATGAGAAGAAACAGAAGAAGAAAAAAAAGCAACTGAATAAGCAATAATAAGAAGAGCAGCAACCAAACAACTCATGTTTCCATTTGTTTCCTTTATGAAAGCAAAGCCAACCATGGTGAGTTGAACAACCCCAAACCACAAGCAGCTATTTTCCTTCTGCTTAAGCTCCTGATGCCACGAAAAGTTTTTCTTTTCTGAGCAGGATTTGGGAGAGACCATTTTGAGATTAACTCTTGTAAACTTACCTTCCCTAACATCCCTTCCTTTCAAGGAAGGGCCAGGGTTTTCAGGAGAAGCAGAGAGAAAGAACCCATGCAACCTTCTAGAAGTTTCCTAGGAGTCTGGCTGTGGCCCAGGTCATCTGCTGCGGCGCAGGCTTGAAGCAGGCTGGAGGATCCATTTTGACCTGGGAGCCCTTGACTCAGTCTCCCATCTTGGCCTTGCTGTGGTGCTAAGCTGGGCATTTGGACCAAAGGTGACACAGCCGTGAATCAAACTGCGGGATTGTTCTCTGTGAGGACTCCTTATGCCTGCCCACTGGGGGTACCCCTCCCCAGAAGGCTGGGGAGAACGTGACCATCTCATCTGCCCTTGCCATCACCCATGGCAGCCAGAGGGAACCCACAGAGCTTGTTTTCCAACTTGAAAGCGGATTCGTGTATCCTGCAGAATCTATTTTTAAAGGAGCTTCTTTCCCATGCAGAATTCCAGGATGCCTTCTGCCCCTTGTTCACTTGCTGTTCCGAGTGTCGTTTCTGCCCCTCTGATGCATTTCTTTGCTTTTTGTGTGTTGCAGGCAGCATAGTGTACCTCGGCATGATGGTGGGGGCGTTCTTCTGGGGAGGCCTGGCAGACAAAGTGGGACGGAAGCAGTCCCTTCTGATCTGCATGTCTATCAACGGATTCTTTGCCTTCCTGTCTTCATTTGTCCAAGGTTATGGCTTCTTTCTCTTCTGTCGCTTACTTTCTGGATTCGGGTAAGGTTTTTCTCTTTCGGATTTTATAGTAATGTTTATTCTACATAAAGACATAATGTTCATGCTTTCCGCTCTAGAGGTTCTCATTACCAAGAAATTATCCCTTAATGCATTTCCTTTCCCATCTTTGTGTCAGCCTTAGCCATAATGCTGGTTCTTAGAAATATAATTATCAACCTTTAAATCCAGAAGAGATGGGCACACACATCTGTGTTCCCGTGCTGATTCTTTTAGTGTTTTATGTCTAGGAAATGGGTGTTGTTTTCAAAGGAATGCTATATCTGTGGCAATGCACATTCATGAGTGGATTTTTTTCTTCTAAAAATTTAAGCCAGAAATAGCTCTAGTCCTACCTATTATGAACTAATTAAAGGTTTGAACCATTCAACTATGCCCTTAAATCCAAGATGAGAGGGTCTCAAGTAAATATTATTTAATTGATCTGTGGTAACTGCAGGAGATCGCCTGCAATGCAGGAGATCTGGGTTTGATCCCTGGGTTAGGAAGATCCCCGGGAGAAGGAAATGACAACCCACTCCACAGAGGGGCCTGGCAGGCTACAGTCCATGGGGTCGCAACATGACTTAGAGACTAAACCACCAATAGCATATTTAACTAAGTAGGAAGCCTGCTTCGTGAGGTGCAATAGGTTCTTTTTATAAGTTCCTGACTTCTGTTGAGTCAACAGAAGTTGTGCTGTTGACAAGTGCAGTGGCATAGTATAGCCAATAGTTAGTCATTTTCGTTAAAGAACTTGAAGCACTCATTAGTAGATTAAGCAAATCCACAGCTTAGGAAAGCCCATAGCTCAATTAGGAGAATCCAAGAAACTCTGCTTGAATAGGAAAAAAAAAAATAGTGCAAATATAAAATTTCTGATTCATGCTTAAGGACTCTGTTTTCATTAGAGATGTTGTTTCTGAGGGAGTCTAGCATAAGATGAATATATTGAAATAATATAAAAGAAAAGAAAAATGAATGAAGAAAGGGCAAGAATCTATGCTGGGTTATGAATTTGAGAAGCCGATCAGTTGTGGTTGATGATGTTGTTCACCATACAGCAAAGCCTGGTTTTGCCCAAAGAGAAGGTCAAAAAGCTGCAGCTCCTCTCTCTTAATTACATATAGTAGTACTTTAAAATCAGAGCTAAGATTAGCAGGAATATAAGGCATCAAAGAGAAAGACTATGTAAGTGGCTTATTTTAAGAGTACAAAGGTTACCCTGTGCAGACTAATAGTTCACTTTCATAATTTATTCAAAACACTTTTTTATATTGTTTTCTGCCCCAAGATTTGTTCACATATTGAGATTGGTGGACCCACAGATTTTTCTCATGTTCTTTTTTTATCTTCTGGAACCTCATCTGTGCTACATTCTACACGTAGGATGTGTGTGCATGCTCAGTCACTCACTCGTGTCCAACTCTTTGGGACCCCATGGACTGTAGCCCACCAGGCTCCTCTGTCCATGGGATTTTCCAGGCAAGGAGCCTGGAGTGGGTTGGCATTCCTACTCCAGGGGTTTTCCTGACCCAGAGATCAAACCCATGGCTCTTGCATCTCCTGATTTGGCATATTCTTCATATAGGGGGCACTTGGCAAATGTGTGACTGAGTTGCAGGAATCTCAGGGGACTTCCTTAGAGTGAAGACATGGCAGTAAAGCAAGAGGGTTGGAAAGCTTGGCAAAGTGTGAAAATACTTTTTCCTTGGAGAAAAATGATCAGAATCAATCTTTTGCTTTGTATGGACAGGGAAAGAGGGCTTTTCCTTAGCGGAGGGGACCCTTGGTGCTCAAGGCTCTGTGTGAGACAGGCTCACATGTCATCTGTGGGGAGGATTTCTGGGTTATGAATTCAGGGGGCTGCAGCCAACCTGATGCTGAGTGAATTGAGAGGCCTGAGGAAGAGCAGGTGTGATTCAAGCTGTTTATTGAAGGACCTTCTCAGGGTCCATAGGATAAGACATTCTTGCCACAGGAGAACTTCCTCCTGCTTTTTCTTTTACATACATAATACCACTAGCCTGTCAGGAGAAGCCTAATAACCCAAGTTCTGAACTTTCCAGTCTTTTCCATTCACAATCTTATCCAGAAAATATCAACAATATTCATGGACTCAAAAATCCCTTAACAGGTTTAGATTATTATGGCAATTTTCATTGCCAGTCTAGATGAAGACATGGTCAACTCTATTGACTGCAGAGAAAAGGGCCATTCTGGTGTCTGTAGAATACTCCAGACTGGGACTGTCAGAAGCTAATTCAAGGGCGGCACAGAGACAGAGATGGGTTGGATATATTCATGACATCATTTGCTTCTTTGTTGCCGACACATCATTTTTCAACCAGCAGCTCAGGGCTGCAAACCTCTAAATAAGATAATTTACCTGGCAAAGCACAGACTGTGCATTGCTAATTCAGCTACACTCTATCAGTTGTGCTCCGAGAGACTACTGCACTGCATGCCTTTGCAAAGTGGGCACAGAATGGGGAGTCCAGAAATTCAAGTCCACCCTACCCCTGGCCTTACTGGGAGCCCTTGGGAAAGTCCCTTGGGCTCTCCAGCCTGTTGCTTCTTTTGTGAAAGGGAGATAATAGTGCTTCACATCCTACCTGTGAGTATGAGGATCAAGTGAGATCGAATGTTGAATCTTGCCTCACAGTGACAGCAGATAGAGAGGGGAAAGAGGCTTCTTTCTGACTTTGATTCCAAGAGGGAAACAGAAAAGACTAATCATGGGCGAAGACTTGGAAGAAAACAGGCAAGTCAAATTGAGCATCCCTGCTCTCCAGAGTAGATGGAGAGTCCCTCAGCTGGGAGTGGGACTTGGGGGGAAGCCATGTGAGCATACTCACCTGGGCTCAGGTAGCAAAACACTTAGGACCTTGTAGGATCCAGCAGCTGAGGGGGCCTGAGACTCACAGCTGTTAAGGGAGGTGAAGAAATTGGTCTCTTCCTTGGCTGAGTTTGGGGCCTTGTTACCTTCTCCTAACGTTTGGGGAGCTGCCCTGATGACAGAGGGGGTGTCTCGGCAGCTAGACTCTCCCAGCTAGACACTAGTTCATCTGGACACTCCCAGCTGAGTCTCTTATGTTCTCCAATTCCATTCCAACTCAAAAGCAAAACTCTTTCACACCTGCTTTACTCCTGAAACCATGGAGGACCTCTCACAGTTATAGATGAGACCTGGCCCCTCGATGCTTCCTGTCTGGTTGGAGAGGGAAGGTACACAGCCCTCCCATTTTTGTTCAGTCACTCAGACATGTCCAACTCTTTGCAACCCAATGGACTGCAGCACACCAGGCTTCTCTGTCCTTCACCATCTCCCAGAGCTTGCTCAGACCCATGTCCATTGACTTGGTGATGCCATCCAACCATCTCATCCTCTGTCCTCCCCTTCTCCTCCTGCCTTCAATCTTTCCTGCATCAGGTCTTTTCCAATGAGTTGGTTCTTCGTATCAGGTGGCCAAAGTATTGGAGCTTCAGCATCAGTCCTTCCCATGAATGTTCAGGGTTGATTTCCTTTAGGATTGTCTGGTTTGATCTCCTTGCTGTCCAAGGGACTCTCCAGAATCTTCTCCAGCATCCCAGTTCGAAAGCACTCCCATTCTCTATCTGCTAAGAACTAGTCAGTGTCGTTTGTGGGGCAGCATCAAGGGGTATGGGAGACTCATAGATAAAGGAGAAAATGGTGACAAAACTGGGAATGAAAAACCAGTTTCCTTGTAAAGGCTCTTCTTGTTCTAAAGGCATGTAATGTTTAAACCCTTTTCACGTGCATCACTTACGCACTGAAAACATAAGCAGCTGAAGTTTTGACACAGTCCTTTTATTTAAACATTGTTAGTTAAAACCTGAGTCAAAGAATTAAGGCCTTGATCCTGGAGACCTTAAATAGGATATCTTGTTATTTCTACAAATGATCAGAATCAATCTTTTGCTTTGTATGGACAGGGAAAGAGGGCTTTTCCTTAGCGGAGGGGACCCTTGGTGCTCAAGGCTCTGTGTGAGACGGGCTCACATGTCATCTGTAGGGAGGATTTCTGGGTTATGAATTAAGGGGGCTGCAGCCAACCCGATGCTGAGTGAATTGAGAGGCCTGAGGAAGAGCAGGTGTGATTCAAGCTGTTTATTGAAGGACCTTCTCAGGGTCCTTCTTGTTCTAAAGGCATGTAATGTTTAAACCCTTTTCACGTGCATCACTTACGCACTGAAAACATAAGCAGCTGAAGCTTTGACATAGTCCTTTTATTTAAACATTGTTAGTTAAAACCTGAGTCAAAGAATTAAGGCCTTGATCCTGGAGACCTTAAATAGGATATCTTGTTATTTCTACACACCAGGCGGCTCCCTTACCCACATCTGATCTGGTTTTAAATTGAAGAGAACTCGGTGATCAAAGAAGGAAGATTCAGAATGTTGGCACTTTTTTCTGTCGTGGAACTCTGGTGCTCAGACCCTGCAATGCTCCGTGCATCTCCCAGGAGCATCACTCTTCCCATCCTTTCTGCTTCACAGGGTCTTCTTCCTGGGCCCTCAGCACTCACAGCCTCAGACCACCCTCCCAGACTCTCACCATACACCCCTGGCTGGTCTTCTTGGTTTCACTGATCAATGCACCAAAATGTTTGCTTCTTGTGTGTTTCTGTCTTTTCTCCACCAGCATGTAAATTCCAAGAGGGCAGAGACTGACAGGATCAGTCTGTCCACTCTTCACTGCTTAATCGCAGGAAGCTTAATCAAGTCTTACTTGGTCTGTATAAGGGGAAGAGTTCTCAATTAAATGACCAAAAGTTTAACTTGCATCATGAAACTTGGCCCCTCAATCAATTTCCAGACTTGAGCCAGTTTACAGACCCAGAACCCCTGGAATGAAGGGGAGACCCTAGTACATTGCTGGAAGTTTATGCTGTTCATCTTTCTCCCAGTCTTCCCCCAAAGGACCTGTAGCCTTTTACCAGGGTAACTGCATGAGAGAAAAGGAAATAATCGATTTTTCA